TGGGGGTGTGTCCGCGTCCAGGAGGGCGTGGCCCGCGTCAGGCCCTGGAGCAGCAGCCCGGCCCTGCCGGTGCAATCAGCTCGCCCCAAACCGCAGCTTCCTCGGGGGCCCTGAACCAAGTCCAGAACACAGAAAAGGAAGCTCTGGTGACATTCTAGACACGGGCTTCGAGCAGCAGGCCTGGCCCAGCTACCGCTGGTGGCGCACCTCGGGCCGGGTCCAGCCAGGGATGCGCGGCCTGGGTTCTCCCGCGGGCAGGGCGGGCGTCCTCCCGGGCCCTAGCGTGGCTTGGGCGTCCCTGCCCCTCCCAGGTTCTGCTTTTTAAGCCTTTGGCCTGGTTTGTGATTTCTATGTTAAGAAGGATCCTAGGAGGAGGCCCTGATGACCTAGCTCTTATTCCAGGGCCATGGCTCTGGGTCCAGGAACAGCATTGTCCTGTGGGGCCTGGGCTCTGTCGGGACTGGCTGTTCTGTCTAATGGAAAAAAAGACAAAATCCCAAATGCAGCTGACCCCTAACCCCTCGCCTTTGTGTGTCCCCGGGAGTGTGCCTGCCTCTTTCTCTGGGTCTCTCATTAGAATTTCAGAGAAGCTTCCTTTGCTATGGAGACGCTAGTCTTGAGGCCTGAGAGGTGGTTCTGTCTACATGCAGATCAATGCATTTGGGGTAATCCATGTTCCGTGTCATGACGAAGTGGAAAACTGCAATGTGGTCTCTCTTCCTGATAAATTTACAGAGCCTCAAGTACACAATTGAAAGTAAACAATTCCTGGCTGGGCACAATGGCTCACACCTGTAATCCCAGCACTTTGGGAGGCCAAGGTGGGAGGATCACTTGAGGCCAGGAGTTCAAGACCAGCCCGGCCAACATGGTAAAATCCTGCTTCTACTAAAAATACAGTAATTAGCTGGGCGTGGTGGTGCACACCTGTAATCCCAGCTACTCAGGAGACTGAGGCACAAGAATCGCTTGAAGCCAGGAGGTAGAGGTTGCAGTAAGCCAAGATTGCACCATTGCACTCCAGCCTGGGCAACAGAGTGAGACCCTGTCTCACGGGAAAAAAAAAAAAAAAAAGGAGAAGAAAAAAAGTAAACAATTCCTGTGCATATAAACAAATGTCTGCTTGTAGCCTTGTGAGCTATCTTGCCCTCCCAAGCACCTGCAGTGCTTGGCACATGCTGGCCACCAATAAATGGTGCTCTTGGGTGGTTGGGAAGATAAGGATCTTTGCAGGGCAGCAGGGACCCTTTGATAATCAACATCCAAAGCCTCAATAGATACATCAGCGCCCCTTTCCAAAGCATGACTTTTCCTCAAAAAGCAAAAACTCTACTCAACATATCCTTCCACTGGGGGGTGGAGATAAAAACACAGAAGGTTCTCTTTCCCTGTGGGTAAACAGCTACCAACAGGCAGTCATGCCTGGATGCACAACCTCAGGGGTGGGCCCATCCCCAGGAACGAGCCCCCAACTCTGCCTGCAGCTTCTAGGTCCGTGGAGCTCACCGTGGGCCCGGCAGGGCTCTGCTTGTCTAGCTTTGGGGCTTGCGGAAAGAGAGCTCCTGAACCAGATCCAGGGATTAGCCTGGGATGCGGCAGGGTAGGCTTCTCTGGGGCTGGGGTTTCCCTGCCACTGAAAGCTCACAGAGAAATGTCCCTGGGCTAACAGAAGCCATGTCTGCGAGAACTCACTGGTTGTGAGATCCGGAAAGAGCAGGGACACGCTCTTCTTTTCTGACCTTCAACCTTCCCTGGGGTTGTGTTCCATTTGGGTCACCTTAGAAAACTCTGGCGCTTCTAAGAGAACATCAGCGCTAGTCTTGGTGCTGGCAGGAAGCTGTCCTTAGCTGTCACCAACACTTTTTTCTGGCCAACATGGTAAAACCCTGCCTCTACTAAAAATACAGGAATTAGCTGGGCGTGGTGGTGCACACCTGTAATCCCAGCTACTCAGTCTAGCTTTGGGGCTAATCCCAGCTACTCAGTAGCTGGGATTACAGCTACTGTAATCTTGGTCCACAAAGCATCACCTTACCTCACCGGTCCTCCAGAGAACATCGGGGCTGCCTAGAATGTGGTGACAGGAGTAAACTCTTTTTTTTTTTTTTGAGACGGAGTCTCGCTTTGTCACCCAGGCCGGAGTGCAGTGGCGCGATCTCGGCTCACTGCAACCTCCGCCTCCCAGGTTCAAGCAATTCACCTGCCTCAGCCTCCCAAGTCGCTGGGATTACAGGCGCCACCATGCCCAGCTAGTTTTGTGGTATTTTTAGTAGAGACAGGGTTTCACCATGTTGGCCAGGCTGGTCTCGAACTCCTGACCTAAAATGATCCACCCACCTCGGCCTCCCAAAGTGCTGGGATTACAGGTGTGTGCCACCGCGCTGACCCTATTC